TTGGCCACAATACTCATCTTAGGTATCTCAGAAACAGTGAGGTTCTCTAGGGGGACAAATCCAATTCTATGTGAGAAATCCCTAAAAATAACAATAATCAACTCAACCTAATTAATAACTTTTGAAGAATAAAGGAACATATCAGAGACAAGCATAACCATAATGAGCAAACTAAGGTATCTCATCCAAAGTATAATGATGGTGACAATGGTGGTGGTAAGAGTAACGATCCACAAACTCGCAGAGATAAAGGTAAAGCTATGATGTTTTCTCATGAGAGGGATGAAGATCCTCATAGAAGGAATATGAATAACAAAGCTAGAACCAGAGGTACTAAGGATGATGGTGTTTCTAACAATTCAGAGGGGAATACAGAGGTAAATTACCTTCTTAGTCACAACAATATCGACATAACTAGCAATGGCGATCAAGGTGCGAGCCAGATCAACGGGAAGATGAACCTGGCGGACTCCAAGAGTGACAACACGACAAGGTGGGTTTTTTTGTAACACATGTGTTAGTTTATCGAATACGGGTATTTAGGGTCTTGGAGCAATATTTAGGAATAATTGGAAAGACAACATTGAGATTCTGAGCAACACGAGGAGCAGAGGAGATAACTTGATGGAGGTGGAAGCTATAGCTATGTTGATAGCTACTAATAACGCGATTGAGAAAGGCTATAAAAGGGGTTGGTTCAGGACATACAACCAACATCTAGCGATGATCATTAACAAAGATGTCAGTGTTTTGCCCAAAACTAGTGTAGGCTTAATTTGATGAAGCAAATGATGTTGCTGAATGAAGCTAGGGTTTTGTGGGTCTCCAAGAATGAGAACCAGGAGGCAGATAGAGTAGCTAAACATTATGTCGTACCAGATCATAAGAATTGGGCCTCGGGTAGCCATAAGCCCAACAACAATTGTAATATGGACAATCAATAATATAGTTTTTGTTGAGTAAAAAATTTAATGTAAATAAATTATTAATATTATAATTTTTTAAAATAAATAATTGATAAGTCACTTTCTATTATTTTCTCTTGACAATAACTATTTTTTCTTATGACAGTAAGATTTTGTTTGAAAGTTAGGAGAGAAGGGAAAGTTGTAACGCCCGTTCATTTTAATTAAATTATTTATGAATTGTCGGTGTGCCTTTACGTGGGAGTGTGTCTGAGAGCGTTGGTGGGTATCCTTAAAGTATAGGAAACCATTTATTAAATCATTGAGATTGATAATAATATAATATAATTAATAATGATGATAATTTAATAACTAGTAGTAATATTATTATTATTATTATTATTATTATTATTATTATTATTATTATTATTATTATTATTATTATTATTATTATTATTATTATTATTATTATTATTATTATTATTATTATTATTACTATTATTATTATTATTATTATTATTATTATTATTATTATTATTATTATTATTATTATTATTATTATTATTATTATTATTATTATTATATGGGTTCGGGGTGTTGGCCCTGTCCCGAGTTTTGGAGTGTTGGCTCCTAGATGGGTTCGGGGTGTTGGCCCTGTCCCGAGTTTTGGAGTGTTGGCTCCTAGATGGGTTCGGGGTGTTGGCCCTGTCCCGAGTTTTGGAGTGTTGGCTCCTAAATGGTACCACATGCATATGCACAGTTGAGTCGCATTGATGAGTCGCATTGTTGAGTTGCGTTGTTGAGTGGTTTTGATGAGTTGCTGAGATATGATGATAATTGTTGTGGTTATGAATAATGAATTGTTGCAGTTTAATTATTACTAATATTTATGCGAACTGCTGGAATTATAATGCTGTGATAATATTCTGACATGACTTTTATCATGCCTTATGTTATATTGTTGATATCTCACCCTTTATGCTGTATGTTACCTCCGTTGGTGGTAATTTGCAGGTAACTCGGAAGAAAGTGTAGCTTTATGTTTAAGGTCGTTGGTCGCTCTGATACGTAGCACTCTGGGGGGGGGGGATGAACGATTAATGTTATTGTTTTAATTGAATTCCTTGTTGCTGAATTTTATTAAGTACTATGGCAAATAGATTGGTTGTTTCTGATAATGCCAAATGTTGCTCGAATGCATAGTTGTTTTAGCGAATTGATGCAAGATAATTACTTGCTGAATTTTAATGGAATTTAATTAGTACGAATCGTTGGAAGTGTATTATAACATGGCGTTTATGATTAAAATGTTAAACAAGTTACCGTTGTTTGTTCATCTGAATTTTGTGCTACGTGTGTTAGTAAATGAGCTTTTGCAGGTGTATGTGTTTTGGTTAAGTGTAGAATGTGACACCTCTGATGCGTCCCAGATTTTGGGAGTGTGACGGTCGTCACAGCTCCATGACGCTCGTCATGACCGTGACGGTCGTGACATCCATGACGGTCGTCATGAGATTTTATTTGCTGCACCCTGAATTGTTTCTGTTGTTTATCTTATTTTTCCGTGATAGTTTAGAGTGGGGTGTTACAAAAGTGAGAGTTTCAGATTTTCTTAAATAATAAAAAATATATAATTATTTTATAAAAAATTAATTTTATTTAAAATAAAAAATAAATATTTATCATTAATATATTTTTATTTTTAAAAATAATATAACATATATATTATAGTTAAAGAATTTATCTAAAACCTCTTAAAGCTTCAAAACTATTCGTTGAATACAATTTTTGAATTCATCTTAATTATGAGATATATATATCTATAATCTATAATATGTATAAAAAGAAAATTTAGATTTGGTGTAATCTATTTTTATTCCAATTATACCCTTTTATTTTTTATTTTAAAATTCAATTTCTCTTTTACTAACTTCTTTTTTATTATCTGTTATATGATAGTTTGCACAACTATTTTATTCAATTTTTTTATATAAAATTTAAATTAAAAAAAATAAACACACAAAAAATACGTTTATATTTTTAAACGTCTAAACATTAAAAATGCGGACAAATAGACACAAACACTAGTAATATATAAAGACATAGCATATTTTTTTTCCGTTTTACCCTTCAAAACTAGATAAGTTATACAAATAAAAATTAACTACCTCCTATTTTATATTTAAATATTATACACAAATAAAAGTAGTTATTTCAAAAGAAAACTAATTTTAATTTTTCATTAAAAACTAGCCAAAACCATCCTAATCTACAACCTTCAATTATTTCCATCCAATTCTTTACTTTTTGTATTCAAAGCTCTCTCCTCGTCATTCCTCCAAGCTTTCAAAGAAAAATTAAGATAATTTATTTAATAATTTATTGTAGATTTCATATTTAAGATAGCGCTAGACAATAAGATGGTTCGGAATTAATTAGAAAAGACAGAGGGTAGGTCAAACTGATGACGTGTGCAAGCAACATATAGCTACCTAACCAGCTCAGGGTTCAATGTTGATGTTTCATAGGTTCACGAGTTCATCTTTCTTAACCAACGTGTTCTGTCTTGTTCATCCTTCCAACATGTCTGGCCCCACTTCTCACCAAACACGACTCCTTTCTCTTCAATCACACACCTTCCTCACTTCTCTCTTCATCAAATCCTGGGTAGTTGCTAAACATTCTGTCCATATCACATGACGTGGGCCATACTCACTCTAATGGATAACGATTAATATTACTACTACTCATTTTTTATTTAGATTAGGTGCATCTATTATGCATCTAGAACAAACTTCAATTACAAATATTTAAATATGCTTACTGTTAAATAACGATTTTATTTTCACAATTATTTAATAGAGTTCAACAACTAAATTTATTTTCCAAGCGAATAGAGTCAAATTCTAAACCTTAATATACCACCAACATAAAATTCTAAAGATTGATTAATATAATTTAGTTTCTAGAAGGCTGGGAAATTTTCAAATTTGTAATTCTCAAACTTGGCTTATTTTATAATTTGTTTTTGTTTTTATTCAGTCTTTCTTTGACCTCCAAAAATATTTTAGTTCAAAGAATATATAATAAATTTCACACATCATTCAAAATACTGTAGTAATATTTATTGGCTAAATCTTATACTTTATATTGTTCCAGTTATAATTATATATTTAAGATATAGTTTTTTTATAAAAATACATAAAATAATTTAATTTACTGTACTACTGTTCTGGTTACTATTGTAATTACTGTTGAAAATTAAAATAAAGACGTTATGGGAGGGAAATGGGAGAATATTGTGCCATCTGTATTTTCACTTTCTGAAATCAAAGAGAATGGAAAATGACTTGTTGTCTTGTTGTTGCTGTAAAATTTTGTTTGTGTCTCAACTTTGTGCTATTTTCTCAAAAAGATTCAAACAAACTATAAATAGTTTACTCTAAAAAGGAACCTTTCCCCAACCTCAACTAATTACATGACATGGTAGTTGAACTTCAACACATTGTGACTAGTCACTACCAAACAAAAACAATAATAAAAATAAAGAATGAATAAAAAAGTTTTTTAATTTAGTGAAGATAACCGTTAATGTGCATTAATTTTTTTTCTCCATTTCCTATATCATTGAAAACATCAAATAAATCGTTATATACAAATTTAATTTATTTTAATGAAACAAATTCACCAGGGTCAATAGTCAAAACCATACAGAGAAGAATATTAAAGCTACCAATGTGGAAATTCAACATTGATTTTTTATCTCTAGGACTCTATCATTAACAAGCATAAATAAAACCATATGGAAAAATCAAGAGATAGTCATAAAAAATGAAGACAGAAAATTAACTAAAGAAAACCCAAAATTTTAGGCCAAAATATTGGTTCAAATCTCTGTTCCACATTCAACTACCGCATATAAATAATAAAAATAATACGAAAATTTCCGAAAAATTTCGAAATTCGATTCTACTGCAACTAAACTGTTCTTTGTCGTTGTTGACGTTGGTCAGAACGTTAACAACTCAGATATGATAATAATTAACACAATGATAAGATTAAGTCTAAATTACTTCTATGGTTCCAAATTTTCCATCAAAACTCCATAAATCCGGCTCCGAAAAATCTAAAAAAATCATTGCCGGTACCAGTTGTTGTAGGTGGTGGAGCAGCCGCAGAAACACCATTCGTAGTAGGCCTGGTATTCATGCAGCAGCAAGGTCCGTTTCCACGTAAGCGTAAAGCTTGATTACAAAGACACACACCTTGTGACGGGGCCACCGCCTGTGACTGCTGAAATGGTGGAGCCAATGAAAGTTCCAAGTTGATTTGAGGAGGACAAGGTGTTTCCTCTATTGTTACACCGCTGCTACTGTTTGAAACTGAATCCTCAACACCGCCATAACAACCAGAATCAGTTACAACTAACTTTTTATTCAGACCGCCGTTGAAACTGAATAACGGAAACGCGCTTTTAGTATTCAAGCTCTTGTGGCTTACGCTACTGCCACTGGATGTGGGGATCACAGGATTCAGAGTCGGTTTGCTGATAAGATTTGTTTGAGAAGCAACGGCAGAGGCCGTGGTTGTCGAGGAAGTACTAGCACCAACACCGGCAGCGGCGGACGTGGAAGCGGGTTTGAGTGGTTTATGTGTTGAAGGATCAACTCCGCGGCCGTAGAGTTTACGCTTGATGTGTGTATTCCAGTAATTCTTGATCTCATTGTCTGTTCTTCCCTTCAATTGTTGAGCAATTTGAGACCATCTGAGAAAACAAATTAAAGTTTATTACAAAATAATTAAACCTAAAATTGAAGAGATGAATTATGAACCAAAACTAAAGAGAGAAATACATACTTGTTACCGACTTGGTCGTGGAGACGAATGATAAGTTCATCTTCTTCGCGAGTGAAGTTTCCTCGCTTGAGATCAGGTCGGAGGTAATTTATCCATCTAAGTCTGCAACTTTTGCCGCAACGAGCCAAGCCTGTTGGTAGAAATAAACATGCAAATACTTAATTAATTAAATAATTAAGCAATGAATTACAGATCAAATTAATGATTTAGTAAATGATGAAATAGTTAAAGATGATTGATTATTATTACCCGCGGCTTTTGGAAGAGAACGCCAACAACCTTCACCGTGAGACTTGATGTATTTTATTAACCGTTCATCTTCTTCCTTAGACCAAGCCCCTTTATTTGTATGTTGTTTTTCACAGCAGGGAGATCTAGCCATGGTTAGAGAGAGAGTGGTGAGTAGCGAGAATGAAGAGAGAGAGAGAGACAAAAGAAGGTAGAAGAAGAGAATATAAATGGGAGGTTGTGGAGAGAGAGAGAGAGGTGCAATTGACTCGGAGAGCTTCTTTTTCTCAAAAGTGATTGACCGAGTTGGTGAGAAAAGACGAGTGGTTACAATTAAGTTTGTGCTGTGTTTCTGTTTCTGTTTCCTTTCATTGGGTAGGTAGGTAGCTCTACTTTTTTGTCATCTCTTTATTTATGCTTATTTCTCTCTCTTATCTTTTTTTTATTTTCACTTTCATCCCTCTAAATCTTCACTATTTCAAACATTTCCCTGTCTCAAAAGTTACGTCTTTTCGTTTTTAAAGTAAGACATTAATTCTCAACTAATTGTGTCCTTTTATTTTGAAAAGAATTTAGGTTTTTTTCCTTTTTTTTAATTTACATTTACGACTGCCACACACGAATGTGTTGTCATTATGACAGTCAAACTTTAGCCCAATTAGAATATTTATAAAAAAATTAATTAACTAATTATGGATATATACTTTTAAAGAAATTAGTTATATGTATATATTAGATTTTTTTCAAAATTCAATTATAATTAAGTATTTTCCTTTTGCGTTTCTAGTATGGATTGACTTGTTAGTTATTATATATAGGCTTGTAATTTTTTAATAATTTTTGCTATATATGTTCATTTTAATGAATGGCAAGTTAAGATATTTTAATTTATTATAGATCTAAAGACTAGCGCTTCTCATTTTCTGGGATAACGATAACTATTTTTAGAGTAAAATGATAGATTTCTAACCATTAGATCAAAATAAATGTTATAAAAATAATTTTTAAATCTTTGATATGATTTTTCTTTGTCTTGATTGCAAATGACCTTTTTCTTTTAACAACTACTATCTATAGATGACACTTGCCACATTGGAAAACGACAAATCATCGTGTTAGTAGAGTTTGGGAACCATTAAAATGCAGTAAAAATAACTTCATCTCTCTCATAAAAAATTACTATATAACTATTGTGGGGATGAATAGATATATTAATTTTAATGATAAGATTAATATTATTTATTAATATATTTTATATTAATTGTAATTATGGAAATAGTTGAATAAAGTGATATAGTTAATAAATAAAATTATAAAAAATAATAAAAATAAATGTTAGATTGATATTATAAAGAGTCAATTATTTAAAAAAAAATATAAATTAGACATTTTTTATGAGACGGATGAAGTATTAAAGATATCATAATACTTCTTCGTACTGTTTATAAGAAAAAAACTAATATTTTATATTTATTAAAAATTTTTAATTTTGTGTGTTTTTTGAAATATATTTTATGGAAAGATGTAAAAATAAATGATTATTTATTTTATGAAAGGAAGAGTCTAAGCCCAAATAAAACACTACACAACGGGGATCCAAAATTCCCAACAAATCATCATCTAGGAAATGTCTCCAACGAAGAAGGCATTCCTCAAAGAAACAATATTCTTCCATAAACTCAATACCACTCTTCGCATCTTCACACCGATTCTTAATAAATATGACGAATCTCGACCTCCCACTCCAACTTCATTAAGGTTTTAATCTTGCTTATTAAAGTTCTTCCAATGGGGTTTCTAAGGCTGCTATCTTGAGTTTCCTTAATTACTTTCATCGAGTCAACATTGATCTCAAGAGCTCGCACACCAGTTCTTCTAGCAAGCAACAAACCTTCATACACCCCCACAATTCTGCCACTAGTACATTACAGACCCCCGTGTTTTTAGCAAATCCTTCTATCCTCGCACTATTGTTATCCCTAATAATTCCTCAACACCCTGCATGTTCATCTTTCAAATAAGCGCCATCCAAATTCAACTTTATCCTTCCCTTGGAGGAGGGTTCCATTTAATTAAACGAATCTCTCTTGTCAATTTAGCCAATATGAGGGATATTTGAGCTGCATTAGCATACTATTGGACATGCTTATTTATCACTTCATATGAATTGTTCGGCCTGTAATAATTTTCCTCATGATTCTCCTTGTTACGCCGCATCTAAATTCAATGACACACCATCACCTAAAATGCCTCCCAATCTTCTTCATCCTTCAACCCAAATTTTTTGATCATATTCAGATACATCCATTGCCCCAAGCTTCTGGAAAATAAATGGATTCTCTACTTAACTTTCACGTCCCTCATCCATAACAGTATTACCAGCGGGCAATCCCTTAAGACATGTAAGGCATCTTCCTCAACATTCTTGCAATATTTACACATTGGTGAACCCAGTTCCATGCAACTTTTGTATTATTCATGAGAAGCCTATTATATCATAATTGTCATATGAAACATCTAACTCTCTCCAGAACTCCCATCCTCCATATCCTCTTCCACTTGTTGTTTGTATCGATGTAAGAAGTATTATCTAAAATGGAGTACATTTTAGAAATTGTAAATACTTTGTTGTCATCCGTGAATCTAGTTATAACCTCATGACCACAATCATCTTAAGGTGGTAAGATATATGCCATACAATTTAAAATATATTTCGAAAGCCAATGTAATTTAATGCTCCAGTTCCAATTGTAACACCCTTCTAAACCCCGCGAAAATATAAGCATATTCAGAGTAAAATTAACATGCAATCACAAAGGGCGTCACACATACACTTCCAAATTACTAAAAACCATCTGTCATGCTCATTAGCACTGAAATAAATAATCATTCTTTACAAAATTATATTTTTTGCATGTAGCAGCGGATTCATTGATATCATAATTTTTTTCATAAAAGAAATATTTGTATTAATCACATAAATCAACATCACTTAGGCACTGAGGCCAGCATCACAATATACATCTGAAACGTAACCCAAACGATCCCAGTGTTACATGACCAGAGCACGACTCGACCCAATACAATTAAATCACTAAACAGTTACACCAATAGCGACCTCGCAACTACGAGCAGTACTACACCTTGATACATGCACAATGTCATGTAGGACATCATTCCAGCAGAAGGGTGAGAAATATTATCATAATAACAATGCATAAATCATATATAAATGCACAAGTACAGAATATATATATATATATATATATATATATATATATATATATATATATATATATATATATATATATATATATATATATATATATATATATATATATATATATATATATATATTCCACATTTTCTCACCACAATTCATTATAAAAGTCATATATGTCACAATATATGTTCACCTAATTAAGCATATTTATCAATTCACATAAACACACATAACATGTTTATTCCACCAATACACATAAACATACACAACATGTTTATTCCACCAATACACATATACATACACAACATGTTTATTCCACCAATACACATATACATACACAACATGTTTATTCCACCAATACACATATATAAATGATAAATGCAACTCATAGAGACCGACTCACGACTCTATGCAGATGCAAATGCGGTACCGACTCATTCAGCAGGTTCAATTGAAGAACCAAATAAAACCATCGCTCGTTACCAAAGTAACTCCCCGTCGGGCCTACGATGTTCACCCATCTCTCACACCCCACATGGGCACACGATGTTTCAGGATTGCTCACACCCCACACGGACACATTATCCGATTTCTCACACCCCACAAGGGCACACAATCGTTCTGCAGATCCTCCACAGGATCAAGAATAAACCATCGCTCATACCCCACAAGGGCACACAAGGTTTCTGCAGATCCTCCACGGGATCAAGAATAAACCATCGCTCACACCCCACAAGGGCACACGATCGTTTCTGCAGATCCTCCATGGGATCAAGAATAAATCATCGCTCACACCCCACAAGGGCACACGAGGTTTCTGCAGATCCTCCACGGGATCAAGAATAAACCATCGCTCACACCCCACAAGGGCACACGAGGTTTCTGCAGATCCTCCACGGGATCAAGACACAAGAATGCAATCATGATGTTTCACATGTGTTAGATGCCAAATTTCACTTATTTGATATATCATATATTGGCACCTTTCACTCATTTTTGTCATAAAAGTGTTGAAAACCACTCTTGTTTTGTTTAGTTTGCAATATATTGTGAAAATCTCTTGGTACCTTTGATTTGTGTGCTATTGTGCAGGAATTAGACACAAAACAAATGGAAAAGTAAGACACAAGAAATGGGTAAAGGAACCAAGAAAACAAGCAAACAAACAGCAAGCTCGCTAGGCGAAGATTCAGCGAGGAAAGATAGCGAAGCACTCGCTAGGCGAAGGCGCAGAACACTTCCAGTAGCAAAATGCTGTCAGCTCGCTAGCAGCTCGCCTAGCGAGCAGGTAGCGAACGAGCCCAGAATTGAACAGATATGAAAGTGCCAAAAGTTCGCGTTCACTAGCTGTTCGCCTAGCGAACGTGACAGAACCAAAACGTGTATTTAAGTCATTTCCTTGTATTTTTAGGTCATAACTCCATTTTGGGACATAACTTTATTTTGTAACATTTTGGAACATCAGAACTTATCTCTCTTCATTTCTTTAGAGGGAGAAACACAAAACCCCAAGGGGGAGGAGGTAAGATCTTCGATCTCTTGTTGGGGTTTGGATTGTAATCTTTTGATACCTTATGTATTTTATCTAATATATGTTTGTGAACTTATTTTGGATTCTCTATTGATTGAATATCTTTGATTATGTATTTGTGGGTCTTGACAAAACCTTTTCACATCTTTGATCTCAGATCTTCTTCTATCAATGAACAAATTTTTGACATGGTTTTGAAGTTGATATTCATTTTATCTTATATGGTGTTATGTTGATTAAGTAGCATAGCTAGCATGGGTAGGATCAATATGATATTGTGTGAGTATGTGATAATAGCGATGAAGAATGATGTTCAGAACCATTTGGCGGATTAGATGAATACATGTAAAAAGGGTTAAGCGCGTGTACGTATTCTGATCATTGTATTTTATGCAAAACA